GGAACTTAAATTTTTACTTCCGGCTGACTGCCACAGCTTTTATGATAATATACCCTTTACATCTTAAACCTATTCTAATTTGCTATTTGTAATGCAGGTTTTGTTGTTTTCAAATGAATTATTTTGTTTTTCTTAACCAGTTTAATTTAATTTTATTTTCTCGAACTAAATTTATTAATTAAATAATTTCTTTTGTGTTAAAATACTTACAATAAATAGATACAAAAAGACATAACATGTTAAAAACTTTTTTAGTTACGGCCTAAAAGCACATTTTCTTATTTTAACCATTTGTTTTATTTTATGCACCATTTTTTTCAAGTAGTTACGGCTTTTTGGTTTCAGAAAAATAGAGTGCAAAAGGCCGTAACTAACATTTCTTAAAAACTACTTTTTTTCCCATTAATTTGGTTTTCAGAAACAAATCCGTCTTTGTTTTCTAAGCTTAAATCTACAATTTGGATATTTAGCTTTAAGTAGTCTTTAATTTATAACGTTTTTTTGCTTCTCCTGTAAAATACTAAAAATGTTAGTTACGGCCTTTTGCATTTTAGGTGACGATATGTACAACTCACGGCAGCATACATACATATGCACATAATTACACGCATACTCAAATACAACAATAACTATTTCTTTCATAAACGCATGCGCGCATTTCTCAAGGCCAAGTAAATTCATTTATAAAAATAATCGCAGCACATCTCCCCGCAAATTCATCACCCTCAAGAGCAACTTTTTCAATCCGACACAAAAATTCTAAAATCTTAAAATGAGGAAATCTCGGCCAGCCAAGTGAAAAGTGGCAACTATTTCTCTATATCCAGTAAAATAAGTTATCTCGCGTTACATACATACCTAAGGTGACGGACAAATTCAACCACAACATAAACGAACATAAGAAAAACATAACTCTGGCGTACGAGTCAAATTGCACACTGTCCACAACCTTCACAAAAACTAAAAGTCCGATCGAAACCTACCAACAAAGCAACGTGGTTACGAAGTGAAATGCATGGGAGGAGAAAATGTAGACTGCAACAAAATATATATAGGTACAACGAAAAGAACACTGGGAATCCGTTTAGCAGAACACGAAGCGGACATAAGAAAGGAAAAGAAAAACACAGCACTCGCACAACATATGTTAGAAAACAGTCACACAGCTGATCTTGCAAACGCCAGAATAATAGATGTAGAAAAGAGAGAGAGGACAAGATACACACTAGAGAGCCTTCGCATATTAGAGAATAGAAAAAGAACGATGAATACAAAAGAAGACACAGATGATACTGCGGCTACTTATTTATTATGTTTGTGACAAGAAAATCAGTATGACAAGTGTACCAAACGATAATGGTACAATGCTCTAGCTTTTAAGTGTTTATGTTTTAGTGTTTATATGTTTATGTGTTTATATGTTAACAAATATACGTATATGAAAGTAAGTGTATATGTTTGCTGCGTGATAAATTCAAATATTGAGACTTTATTAACTACATGTTCAATGTAACTTTTGTTCCTAATTGTTTTTGTTTGTATCTTCTTTTGTGTGTTAATTTAAAATAAAGATTGGCCCCTGAGGATGCTAAGGAGTTTAGCGAAACGTAGGGCAAAGCAGTGAAGAAAAAACGTTGTTTTTACTTGCACTAATCACCAACTAGGCCAAAGAAGCTCATCAAAATTAATAAAATACTTACATTTTCATTTGTTTGTCTTTTTAGATGCATGAAAAATTTGGTATCAGAAATAGGTAATATCAATGAAATGCAGTTTACAAATATGTGCTTTATAAATAAAGGTTTGTTTATTTAATTAGATATGTAAATGACAATGTATATTCTTACTGACTACTGAACAATTTTACTTAAAGACTAGTTAAAGTAGCTAAGTAAGAGGGTACGAACATTTATTTACATTCAAGTTAAGACGATAGCGAGCGCACCAAGACACAAGATTATCGAGTTCCGACTGAAGAACAAATGCGTTTTGCAAGTTTTTTATTATTGAGTAAATCTTAAGGTCGTCTGCATATAGCAGAAATTTAGAAGTTGCGAAACAAGAGCCGATGTCTTAATAAATAACGTAAATAACAAAGGTCCTAGGATGCATACCCTGGGGAATATGCAACAAAAGGTCGGGAGGAGACATTATCTAAGGTAACCACACAAAGTCTATTGCTCAGATAGCACTTAATCCATTCAAGAAAAGTTGAATGGAAATCTAAAGCCGATAGTTTGGAAGCTAACACTCTATGTGAAACTCTGTCGAAGGCTTTCGAAAAATCTGTGTAAACACAATCTACTTGATTCCCTTCACGAAAGTCAGCGAAACAGTCTTCAGTAAGAACAGCAAGGTTTGTTACTGTTGATCTACCTTTGACAAATCCGTGTTGGTTACAGCAGATAAGACCACTAATTGCGAATGAGAGTTTGACTTTAACAACAATCTCGAAAATTTTAGAGACCGTGGATAACTTCGAGATAGGTCTATAATTACTTACGTCATTCTTGCTTCCGCTTTTATAAATTCGAGTTATAGATGCTCTTTTCCAGTCGTCTATAAAAACGCCGGATGTTAAGGACTTATTGAAAATAAGCGTTAGCGGCTCAATCAGGGAGGAGGACTTTTTAAAAATAATCGCCGAAAGTCCATCCGCGTCCATTTGTTTGGAGGATTTTAGCGATTCGATGCCTCTACTAACGTCATCTTTGGTTAGAAAAATCGAACCAAAAGACAGTGACGAGTCGGAAAGGAAACAATCATCGAAAGGTAGACCAGCATCGGACACAAAATTGGCACAAAAAACTCAGAAAAAGATTAGCAGCATCAACAGGAGTGGTCGCATGTTTATCGCTGTAGAAGACGGAGGAAGGTATGCCAGAACTTGACTTTTTAGATTTTATATACCTCCAAAAAGCTTTTGGGTTATTTTTTATGTTGGATTCATAGTTTTTAATGTACCTATCATGTAGACGCTTATCGAGGGCGTTGAAACTCTTACGGTAATGCTGATAACGTTCAAGGTACAAAATGTGCCCGGATTTTTTGAACTTTTTGAAGACGTTTCAACTCTTTTGTGTGCCATGGTAATTTATAGGGTTTCCTAGTGAATGTGGGGATTAGATCCACGCAGAGATCAAAAACACGAGATTTAAATGTGGTGAAGGCGTTGGTGGTATCCATTTTAGTAAAGAGCGTGTTTCAATCGATTCTTAGCAATTGTGAATTAAGCTTATTACAGTTGCATAGATTATAGTTAAAAATAGGTTGCAAAGTACTAGGCGAAGGAGTAAAGAATTCGTAGAATTGGAGTGTAATTTCTAAAGAAATATGGTGGGCATTCCGCGGAGAAATTGGTGAATCACATACCTCCAGCTGATGATTTAAGTTGTCAGTTAAATAAGTTAGGTCTAAAAGTCGATTAAAGTCGTTAAAATAATGATTAATTTCGGAAAGGCCAATACTTAAGAGACTATCAGTAACATAAGTATCATAAACATTGCACACATTAACTGGCGTTAACACTGATGAACTACTTAAGTTACTCCAAGAAATATTATTAAGATTAAAATCGCAAAGGACACACATATGGTGATTTTTAACTTCAGAGCTTATACAAACTAAATTATTAATGTGACATTTATAAATCTCGTCATTACTGTTGGGAGGGATATACGACGCACACACGAACAGTTGGCCGAAAGAGCCCCGCACAGTAACGCAAAGTTGATCGAGGAGGGAATCAGAATTAAGTAGCTGAACTAAAGATGAGCTGAATTTCCGCTGTACAGCAATTAACACGCCGCCGCCTCTGGAACACCCAGTTTTGATTTCGTCTCTATCTTTCCGGAAAACACTATATAGGTTTGCATCGAAGAACTCGGAATCGAAGAAGTTGTTATTTAACCAACATTCGATAATTACAAAGACGTCATAATCGAGGTGAGACCTTAATCGATGAACTATCTCTGCTTTGGTCCTCATACCAGATACATTGTGAAAATATATTTTTAATTTATGCGAAGATTTTTTAGCAGCTATGTTTGAGTTGACGGACTTACTTTCCTTTGAAAAAAAAAAAAAAGGACGCACGGTGACGTTAGCGGGCCAAACTTCTGGCAATAGCAACTTATCAAACGATTTTACAGGTACCCCAAGCTTAAAGTTGACACTTTTAAAGAGTTAGTTGGCCCATCCTTTTTAATAAGTTTAAAACATGATAAAAGATTCTTTTCAATTCCGGAGTGTTTTCCAACATATTCAATAATATCAACAGAGCTGACAGATGGCTTAAAAGATGATAAATGAAGCCACTTTAATGGAACGGCCACATTAAGTTCAGCATTCGAACTAGATCCAACGACACGCAATTCACCTCTCTTATTACCGGCCTTGGCAGTAGTTTTACGCCTTTCCCTGTTACGAGCGGGAGACATTGATTGTATCGAATCACTTGCATTAGATATGGGGGTAGAAAGATTAGCAAGCGAAGAAATTTCGCCACTCCCTAATGTAGATGTTTTCCTCTCACCTGGGGGGTTACTCTGCAATGCGATGCGAAAGAGAAATGCGATGCGATAGGCAAATACGTCGTAAGTAATACGCTGCGGCGATTGCCTATCGCATCGCATTTCTCTTTCGCATCGCATTACAGAGTAGCCCCTCAGACCACGATGCATCGAAAACTTCACCACGCTGCAGCACTTTATTTGTTTTGTTTATTGTTTGCTGATTTCCATAAGCGCGGCAACAGAGGCGTATGGTATACACATTTCACCCGTAGCAGTGGCGTTAGTTGACGTCGACGCCGACGCTGTAACACTAGCATCAGTGGGAAACGAACGAACGCCCAGAGACGAAGCAGATGGAAATAAGAGAGGACGAAAAGCAGCATCAGGCATAGAGGCACTAGTTCAATGGTCGGCACGCCATAGTACAATCAGAGAACGTAAATTTATAGAGAAGGTCCAAGAACGAATCAGCGTGGAAACTGTCAAATACCAACAAAACTGGCGAAGCGCATTTTAAGAGCGACCAGCCAGAGTCAATCGAATTTTAACGGAGCCCAGCCAGAGGCAAAATAAATTTAACAGAAATTGTCTCATCAAAGCAAATGCATATTTTTCTTGTTAGAGATGAAATGCTGATGGCTTTTTACGTTTTTACAACGCTTTTATTGCTCTTTAAATTGGTTAATTATTTAAAATAAATGCATGCATAGGTCGAAATGTGTAATATGTACATATTGTGCACATGCATATGTATGCGAGAGATACAATTTTGTGAATCTAAAATGTGAAATTATGCAAATATGTAGTATGCAATTGGCAAATTCGTTGGTGATTTGCCGTCGGCATTTGGGTTGAAAAAATCGACTTTTACTTTTTTACCGATTCATATGGTATATGCTACGCTATTTTCAACGCAACAAACCGCAGTTTTCCAGCTGCCTTAGTTTTTCCCCAAATTCACTTTAAAGATGGACACATTGACCAAAAAATGCAAATGCGCACTGTTTGGTGTTGGCATTAAAAGCGAAGCAAATCGGTTTTTATATATTTAACGATTCTAATGGTAGCTTATAGACACGATATTTTCAATGCAACAAACTGCAGTTTTCTAGCTGCCTTAGTTTTCTCACAAATCCACTTCAAAAAAAAAGTACAAATGCATTGATTGCACGCACGTGTTTACTTCAAAGTGTTTTTTGTCGAAAAGTTATTTATATTGAGAAAAACTGTGCATTATCATTTTTCACTGCTATACTCGTATTATATGTAAATAATGGGGCATATGCATAGTTAAAATAAAGCCGACACTAAAGTTAGTTACAGCTTTTTCATATCACTTTCAGTGGACTAGGCATCTGTGAAAAAAAAAGATGCAACTAACTTCTTATTTGGGACTGACAAACTTAAACTTAGAGTAGACTTTATTTCATATACGAATATGCCCCAATAGTTTTGGAGTCAAATGAAAATGCATTTCCCCATGCATATGTATGTACATACATATGTACTCCATTAATTGATAACGTTTTTACATGCATACCTATATATGTATGTACAAATGTGCATATTACTGCCAAAATGCTACGCACATACATACAAATGTACATATCGTCACCTAAAATGCAAAAGGCCGTAACTAACAAAAAATTCAAAATTGACTTTTTGATTGACCGAAACGCATGTACACAGCAAATTTTACATGCATGCGTCCAAAAATAACGACTTTATAGGCGAAAATCAAAAGGCCGTAACTACAACTTCAACAATTTCATAAACCAAAAAGCCGTAACTACACTTTTTTTTCATTCTCTTTGATTCTATTTCAATGTGACACATTGTGTTATCCGTAATTACAGTTGTTTTCATTATCTTTCATTCTTTATCAAATTGTGTTATTGTGTTACTGCCTTTATTCCCGGAATAAAACAAAATTAATAAAATGAGTACTAATTGTGAAAATGGTTGTAATGAAAGACTTAAAAAAAAAAATAAAAGATCTGGAAATATAATAAACCGATTGAAAGGAAAAAAATACATGGGACTATCGAAAGGCATTATTAGTGAAAAAGCTCCAAGAGAACTTAAAGCTGGATGTACTTCAAAATTCTGTGAGAAAAGTGCTGTACGGAATTGTTCTACATTTTCCGAAGAAAATCGTAAGGAAATGTTTAGTGGGTTC